TTTAGTGCTAAATCACAGGAATGTTATATTAGATACTGAAATGGCAATCCAAAAATTACTTTTAGCAATATTTTAGAGATTATTTTAGGTGCCTGCCTTTAATGTCTTTGACATGTATGGATAAATCACTTTAAAAGTACAGTTTTTTACATTTTTTTTTTTACTTGGAATACAGAAGAACTAGTTCTTTGATATTTAGATCCTCATAATTATTCTTGGAATTTTTCTTTGGATGAAGATTTTGGCATTGATGATACTTTAAGTGAAACAATCCTGTATCTGGATCTCATTCATCACAGATCTTGAAAATAAATGTGTCTTGGCTTTCAAATACTGACATGGAATTCTTCAAATGATGAATTCAAACTGTAAAGTGTATATACATTTAAATGCAAGTTCCTTAAATATGTAGAGCTTACATAAGGATCAGACTTGTATATGTTCCCATTATTGGTAAGTGTAAATTTTAGTGTACTATAGACAATGGAATATATATACCCATATTATATTAAGCTGGGCTTAAATATGGTAACGTTTGCTGAATCAGTTTCCTCCTTGAATTCTGTTTGATCAGACGTCATGAATGGAAGTTGAAGACATTATATATTCAGTTTTTGTCAATTTACGTATGCTGTTTTTCCTTAATGTTTTGGCTGTGGTGTTTAGCAGTTGTATTATGGATAGCGTTGAGCAGACTGGGAACTAGGATCCTGTTATGTTAAGTACTTTACAAGTGTAAAGCACAAAGACAAAAAAGGGGGGAGGCGGGTAAAGAAGGGTCCCAGACTAAATGATGTAATAGGTTTTCCCTCTCTCTCTGATCTCTATACCTCCAGTTCTGAAAAGGTGTTTACGAGCTGTGATTTGTCCCACTGCACTTAAGCATAACTACTTCTAGCGTGTAAAATTAAGCTCATACATATATCATTTCAGGTTCAGGGTTTATCACTTTAACTGGAGCATGGTTATTGGAGCCAATATTTTCTTTAGATGGGTCACTGGAACTATGAAGTGGAGTATTTGGTTGTATTGAAGCGACTCAGCTCATGCAAGCCTGGCATCTCTGACATGGAGTTTCTAGATTTACGTAGTCTTTTGTCTCAGGCCTGAGCTAAAGAACTAGCACTTAGTGAGAAGAAAAGAATTAAGTCTTGTCTCTGTACTGACTAAATCCCTGGCCTCTGCTGAGAATACCACTAATGGAGCCAGCAGTGGTCGTATCTTTTTTTGAGACGATCATAAATTGTATTTACTAATGGCAGATTATATAAATTTCAGCCAAATCTTTATCAGCACTTAGACCAGACACCAGATAAACAGTTGGCCACAATTCTGGCCTCTAATAAAATTGTACATGAAACTTGAACTCAATTTTGCAGTTTAAACACACACTTAAAAATGAGCTGGTTTCTCAGTGGTGTAAGCTGGCAGTACTCCAGGAAGTCAAAGCAACTCCACTGTATGTATCAGATGAGGATCCAGCCCTTTTTTCTTAGTGGGAGAGTCCTGGCTTCTGCTCTGGCCCTTGCGGTGCTCACGCAGGAGGGAAAGCAAACACGAGAGTCTCTTCTGGTGTTTGCGTACAGACCCGTGCAGCGTTGCCCTTTTCCCATCTCCTGGGCTTGGTTGTACATCAAATAGCAACATGCAATTTCACTTTTTGTGGGGGGAGGAGGGCAAGATTCACCTCACATCTATCTTGTATTTTCCCCTCAAAACGGCTGGTGCTTTGCTACTAGTTGCACTAAGACAAATTTCCTGATATTGGGAAGAGATTTGCCCTTTAGTGACATGCTTGGGGTGCCATGAAAGGGGTAGATAATGTGCATACTATGTATGCCTTAGCTCCTAGGGACCTTGCTATCAAATTAAAGCAAAGTGACAACACATGTAGCATAAGAAGTTTGTAACTGATACTGTAGCAGCTCAGACAAAGTTATGGAGTGTAGCTTTTATACTATTTTTCTAACTTTTTTTTTTTAAGTCTTTGAAATACTTTTTGACATCTGCTATTCATTACACAACAATATAGCTATCTTTTTAGGAAAAGAGACATTTTTCATTATTCATTTCAAAGTTAACAAACACATTTTAAAATGCCCATGGTAACTGCAAGGGATTTACTTTCAGGTGATTTGGCCATACAGCCCAGTCCAACTACAACATTAAGATTTTTGTTCCATTTCTACATTTACCTTGGTCACAACTAAAACCAGTTTTTTTATCAGAGTTCCTGGGTTTGTTTTTTATTAAAGAAATACTTTGACTTAGCCTGGATGGACGATATGAAACTCTGGCAGGAAATCTGAATCTTGCAGTACTTCATGTACTGAGTACATCAGCAAAAGCATTTTGTCTGTTCTCTTTTATGGACAACATGACTGATTTTGGGTTTTTTGTTTTCTTTCAAATTAAAGATATTACATGTACTCTTTCTTCATTTACACCCAAATGGAGAAATATCAAAACTTTGACAGGATTTTAACAGAACTGGTATGAAAAATCCTAAGACAGAGATATTTAGTCCCTAAAAGTTGACTTCTTCCCCACGCTGCCTCCTCTTCTGTGTTTTACTGTACTAGCTGTATTTCCTTCTCTGAAATCCCAGAGCTCAATGTAGGACTAGGGCTATTTTGAAAAAGTATGGATGCTTTACATGAGAAACTAGGGTACAGTGTTACCAATGGTAAGAGGGTGAAAATGCCTGGAGTATTTATCACTACAACATATTCATATAAGGGGAAGTATTGCGAACATCTCTTTTGGTTCTGTGTCACTCCTGTGCCTGCTGTGCCTTGCAGGGGAGCACGTGATGGACATGATGACAGAGATGCAGCACGGGGAGGGAAGCGAGCTCGCTCAGAAGCACGAAGGAGCAGGAGTCTCGGACCTAAGAGGTCCCACTTCTGTAAGAGAAAGTTTAGTCTTTTCTTGTTGCTTTTTTGTTTTGTTTTAAGAAAGTCATTAAGTTTGTGGTAAACAAGGAAGGAGAAACATTTTTGACAGAAAATACTAGTGGTCTTAACATTTTTTCATTTCTTAATATTTGCAGTTCTTTAATTTTGTACATGTAGGAAGAATTTTTCTAATCTCTGATGGAGTTGAAGGAGACTAACTTTTAGTTTAAAATAAAAATTTCTCTCTCCAGCAGTTTTACATTTTTATTTAAAAAATAAAAAAGAAAGAAAAAAGGCAACAGCCAGCACAGGCTATATTTACGGGCAATAATGTCTTCAAAGAGCACATATGCATCCTTTTTTGATTGTGTAAGCTGCTGGAACTGTACATGCAAAATGGTGATTGCATAGGTGAGAGAGTAACAATTTTTTTTTCCTATACATTATCAAAATGCATCTAACTTCTGCAGATGTGATCCTGGGGCTTCCAGCCTTTATTGCACCATCATTCTGGAAGAAAAAAATAAAGGAACAAGAAAGAGTGAAAAGACTAAGGATCCTCTGCAGAAATGTGTAGAGGGCATTGCCTAACTGACCAACACTCAGCAAGCTGTAAAAATATGTGAACGTAGCGCAAATATGTGTGTAATGTAAATATGCCCCCAGGCTGCAAGTCTCTTCTCTCAAAATATCATAAGGTTATCTCCCAGGCAAGGTTCCTTGTCAGTGTGTGTTGTTCCTTGGCTACTGCTGTCTGCTAGCATGGATTCACTTAGAGTTTCAGTGTCATGACCCTAACATATGTGACATGTATAAGAAAATAAGAGCAATTTATTCTAAATTACAGCACAGCAGACTATAGTTGGGAATTAAGCAAAACAGTGAATAGAGCAGGGCTACAGGGTAACTCAGTTTGACTGAGTTGAATAGTACTTGTTTAATTGTTTTGATGCCCTGCTACAGATGTAAAAGAAAGCTTTAGCTCTGAATTCGTTCAAAACCAGACCAGCTGTAGCGTTTTCCAAATGTGGTGTGCTCAGAAGAGATCTGGCCAACCATTCTGGGTGGACTCTGTTTCAGCTCCATCCCAATGCACTTGAGTGGAGGGAGGGACCTCCACTCCAGGGATCCCTGTTGCCTTGTTTTCATTTTGCCAGATATTATTTCTGGTCTACATCCAAATGCAATTCTAATGCAAGATGATACTGTTATTCTTGAAAGTAATGTTACCTGTAGTAAAAGTTCTGTTTCATTCTGCTTTTTTCTATAAGTAGTTTCTTTGTTTGGATATAAAAATGTTTTAATGCAGTGTACTCCAAATACAAGACAGACAATGGCATCAGTTTGGACCTAGTCAAAAATCTTAGAAAATAAAGCTTTCATAATGCTATGGTTGACTCTGAAACTATTTCCTCAGACTCTAACGTTGTATCTAACTGTTTTTAAACATTATATCACTTGAAAGTGTAGAAATGTTAATATAGCATATTTTATAACAGTTTATAGAAATCTTTTAGATACAATGTTACAGTGTGAGGAAATGATTCTACAGTCTAAATTGTTAACATCATATTTTGTAAGGTAGCTCACTCAGATAAGAACACACAATATACTTTCTTTTTGTCCAGAATAAAAAAGCGTAGTTTAGTTTCTGGGGAAAAGAACTATGTCAAACATGCTGCTTGCAAGTCAAGAGGAGGGTGGGAGATGGAAAGCTTTGCCATTGACTAGTTCAAGGGATGCTCTAATCAGCTCCAACATTTAAACAAGCTGCTTTTCATACATATGTTGGGCCATTTTCAGTACTAAATGGCTCCATTAAATGGTTTTCCAGGTCTTGTTCTGGCCAGACAGCTATTAAAGTAAATGGGAGTTTAGCCTCTGTAAGAAATGGAGCATCAGTTCTTCTGCCAGGTGAAATATATCATTCAACAAAAGCTAAACTCTTATTCAGAGAATCCAACAAGCTAATGTAAACAAGGATATAAAGCTCCTCAAATCCTGCTAAGCTGTTTTTGCAAAAGTAATGTCTTTTACAGCACTAAAATAAGTTCCATGGGAAAGACAGATTAGAACAACATATACACGGTGCTACCTCTTTAAAAGGCTTGTCCATGGAGCAGTCTGAATTGGAAATACTCAATGATGACAATCTCCAAATGAAGTAGCGAGAACAGAAAGTTGAAAGAAACCCCCCTGGAAAGTTTTAGAAGAGACAGAATGAGTTTGTACAGCAGTAAACCAAATCCATATTTATGACCCAAATCTTACCTAGTGAAGTTTACCTTAAGAATGTCAAGGATTAGGGATGATGTAGGTATAGATGGTGAAGAGAAACTGTATTCACAGCTGTGTTTGTCATGATGTGTGCTGGTTGAGACCTTTGGGAGTTAAAGTCCTGTCACCAGCAGGCTGAAAGGGTACTGGGAGAGCTTGTCAGAAATGCCCTAACCATGGAGTGTTCATTTGCAAGTACGCAAATGAACAAAAAATCCCAAACATGTCTTTGAAAAGGACTAGAATTGTCAAGACTGTAACTTATTTGGGTGTGACTGGGTACAAATTTGCAATCAAAAAAGATTGTCTACAGCAAGCTAATTCTCATTAGGGCTTCCTAGAGTAAATTTTAAGGATTAGTTGTAAAATATTTATCACTTTTCTGCAGGAATTCTCAGGATATTTTCCAGAATTGTGAAAATAGTTTGATTAAACACTGAATTTTTGGGTCCCAAAAAAGAGGAGAAACTGTAGGGGGGGGGTTCTTTTTGTTCTGTTTTGTTTTAATCACAAAAGATATTCTTGTGTGATTTATCTTTGTATGGAAAACAAAGATAATAGCCAAGCTTTCACCCTTTTAAACACTTTTTCATGTTATGTTTACCTTCCGGTTTTCCAAAAAAAAAAAAAAAAACAACAACAAGATGTACATCTTTGAAAGCATTATTAGTGATACTTTACAAAAAGAGGATGATTTGCCTAAAAGATGTTGAGTTGTGATAGGGATGGCATGCTGAAACCTTTAAAGGGCACGAGGGCCCTGGTTCTAGTCAGGACGTGTAAATGCTGAACAGGGAGGATTCCAGGCTCAGTGTGACTCCTGGAATGTAAATTGGTGATAACACCCCACTGCTGGCCAAACACAAGCCAAGCCATCACTCACCTGTGAATCTCATCAGATTGCTTGTTTTTCGTATACCTCAGTTGACACAGATGTAAAACTAGATATAGAAAAATATTTCATTCTTTTAGCGGAGAAAGATGTTCCATCGGAGACACGCTTCTGTGAGTGTAATTATTGAAGAAAAATGACATTAATATTTCCTTTCAACTGACAGCTGAAATGCACTGTTTGCTTCTGGCTGTTGTATGAATAATCTGTGCTTCTGTCTGCGTTTCATTCTTTCATGTAACACAAGTGCTCCCAGAAAGTAGACAAGCAGCACAGCCAGGTAAATGCACTTACCTGGTATTGTTAAATGAGTATGGTCATAATACTGTAAGTAAAGTGGAGTTAGACTGCAGGCAAGGACCTTTTCGTTTTGCTTTTTTTTCTGTTTCATTTTGTTTGTCCAGAGTACTGGGGGCTCCTGGGATCTGACCTGTGTTGCAGACTGCACTGTGACATCTCACTGCCCAAGAGAAATTTAATTCGCTAGCTCAGAAACTGGAAGCAATCCAGTCTGGTGGGCTGAAGCTCTGCAAGGGCTGTTCTGCTCTGCCTGTTGGGCTAGAGTAAGTGTAAGGTAAATGATTTCATAGAGTTCTGTGCTCCTCGTGTTACCTGAGCTATCCCTTGGCAGCTACGCTGTGTACTTTGGCATTGGAGTGCAGTCTCCTGTAGACTTTGGGTTCTTAGGCACAACAAATAAAATCCTGTGGGAGCATGTTATAGAAAAGAGGATATGGGCTTCCCTCTATCCTCCTGAAAACCAGGTCCCCATAACCTGACTGTGAAGAGTTTGTTAACATTTGAATGTGGTGTTGACTTTATAGGAGGAGAAAGCAATCTGTCAAGGACAGATAGCCAAGTACAAATGCGCTGAGAAGAGATATAAGGCAGCTATGCCCTTCCATGCTACGTATGCGGAGATCTGTCTTGTTTGATTATTTCCTTGGTAGGAGCAATCTTCCATTCTTGACATGGTATATAGGAATAGCCATTGGTTGGTCGTGGAGTTTCGCTGTTGAGGAAGTCACCGTGCTGTTCTAGCTCCATTACAGAGTCATCTCTGTGGTTGTCTAGAAGCCTGCATTGCTGTCGGGCTTGTCTAAACCTTGACAGCAGCTGGTAAACCACAACTGCTGCTTACCCTGTTGCTCACTCCTTCCTCTGTGCAATATGTAGCCCCATGGGGTCTTGGTTTATGACTAAAGTGTCTCAGTAGGACTGCAGAAGCTATATATATATTTTTTTTTCTAGTGCGTTCCTCCAGGTTTAGGAACTAACCCTGAATATTATTTATAACTGATGGGGGGGGAAGTACTTCTTGTGAAAAAGGAGCTATTAAAGTAGTAGGATTTATTTACAGGCAGTTTTCTTCACTATATGGATTGGTCGCGTGACCGATATCTGCTTTTATCTCTTTGTGTGTCTCTTAATACAAACTTACCCTTCTTGTTTATCACCACTGATATACAGTCAGAGAGCTATTTCTCAGCTAGGAATTTCTTGAAGAACAGGAGGCCCAGGTTTCAAAGCAGTGAAAGCTCAGAGTTTCTGAAATGTTGGATTCAGCTCTGAGGGAAAAAATGGTATTGTTCCTTTTACCTGAGAATTTTATTGGAACCTTCTTATATGTCTCATTGTTCATAAGCTGTCCTACAGTCACGTGCCAGCACTTACACCTTTCACCCAAGCATAGCAATAGAAGTATCTTGCAGAACTGTGGTGTATTGTGCAAAGATTTATTTTGACAGTAAAATAGCAGGATTCTCCTTCTGCTGTTCCAGTAATTCTGCTTTCACGGGACGTTGCAATATGGAAGGGATTGCGTGAGCTCCGCTGCAATCTGCAGGCAGCAGCCAACGTGCTCCTGGCACCTGGTAATGCCAAAAGCAATTGGCAGTTGGGCTGCACGCATGTCCCTGATCCCGGCAGACTCATCTCAGGGTGATCCTACACACGAGGATAGAGAGAACAGAGATAACAAAAAGGGCCTCAGCTCTGGTAAGGACTTTTCCCATGTGTCTGTGAGATAGTCGTTTCTGCTCTATGCAGAACTCAGATTTCTGGTGATAACTTTGAACACCTCACTAATCTTTGCTGTGGGTGTCCCTTGTGGTAGTACGTAATTTGCATGGTGCTTAGAGCCCTAACTGCCCTGCGAGGCTCTTAAGTCCAGTTCTACAGTGATTTACCAGACAGAATACAAATTCCAGTTTGGATCCTTCTGCCCTTAACAACTGAAGAGGACTGAACACACCCTCTGCAAGCATTTTCACTGCTCAAGCTTTTGGAATGGACACTAAAGGTTTCTAAGGGTGTTTTCTTGTTGTTTTTCTCCCCGCCTCTTCAGTTGCTAGAACTTTCTGAGGAACAGTTTACTTTTTTCTGCAGCGTGTCTTGTACCTCTTCAGTTGCAAAAGCTGCCAGGCGTTCATGAGGATGCTTGACTCGGGAATCTGAATATGACCTTTCTTCCTCTTTTCTCATCCTGCTACTCTCCTACTGAAGCCATGGCTGTCTGCTGCCCACTGCACAAGTGTTTCTCTCTGGCTATTACATGGTTATTTTGCAAAGGGCTTCTCAAAGCAGATGTTACCATTAGTTTACTCCTCCATCTCTGCGCTGACACTTTCATACACAAAAAACAGCTTGCAGTCCTGCTGGTCTTTTAGTGGAAAGAAAATACCCTGCTCCATTGCTGTTTACTTTATTTTAATGGTGCTTGGCAGTAGTGGCACATGAAGGCTTGCGACTCCCTTCTCCTGCTGGCAGATGCTTTTTGTGGCTGTTGTCCTGCAGGCATGTCCTCTCCATGCACCAGTGCCCTGCTACTTTTCTCCACCATTGCCTGCTAATGCAGATGGAAGAAAGCCCTCCCAAGGAAGGAGGTGCTTGGCTAGCAGCTAGAAGCATCGAAGTTGTTGTTGGTATACCTGCTTTGGGCCTCTCTCCTTCCTGGCAGAAATCTTGGAGAAACAATTTTGCTCCTTTTGGCCCTGCCCGAGGCAGGGCTGGCTCAGTGTGAGTAGTTGCCTAAGGCACCATGTTGCTGGGAATAGCAAAACATCAGAGCTTCACTATTTGTTTTACCTGGGCTTAAAAAGTGAGTCTTGCTGCTGGCAGGAGTGAGGGTGACAGTGGAGTTTCTGCATCGGTAACTATTTCAGGAATGATTGTCCCTCATCATCCTCACTGCCTGGGCCTGGTGCCAATCTCTGCTCTCTCTTCCTTTATCCCCCTCTTTCTTATGAGGGACAGGTCTTACATTGGCTCCTGACGCAGCAAAACGTACTGGGTGAAAAGCACAGCAGTGGGGCTTTTGCCAGGGGTTGGGGAAAGAAAGACCCGAAGTTTGTGATGAAGCTGGTGAAGCGGAGGCTGTGAGCTGCAGCAGGGAGACTGCTGGTGCTGTTCAGTCAGTAGCTAATGCTACTTCCTGTGGCTAGTGCTTAGAGGTGACTAAATACTTCTGCATCCATGCACGTACTTTGGGAGGCTGATGTGTCCTACAGCAAATGCAGAGCAGGGCTAAAATCCTGGTGTTATGAAGCTGCAGTTAAAATAAAATACTGCCTGCTTAGGCAAGGTTACATGTGCTTATGTGAGATCTATCCAATGGCTATCTACACTTAAACAGAAATAAAATGATCTATATAGGTATCTATCTTATTTGTGTAAAACAAGAGAGATAGTAGCTGTAAGTGTACAGTCTCAGCGCAGACAGCTGTGTAGCTATGATGGTTTGGTGGAAGCGCACGTGGGTTTTGTTTGTCCCCCTCAGGAGTATCTTTGTTGAATTCTGCTTTGTGCAGGCATCTCTCACATCCACCTAAACAAGGAGATGTCTCCTGAACACAGGGCTCTTCCAATGCCATGGCTAGGGAGCGTGATCTTTCAGTATAGCTCTCCGTTGCTCCCAGAAACAACACTAACCCTTTGGATATCAAGTGACTCTAGGATTTCTCCCCAGGTCTCCACCCTTGAGCACACTGCTCAGCTCAACCCCTCGGTGAACAGCACAGACATCAGCTTTGCACTGAAATTTCTCAACCTGTCACTAGTGACTCATAAACAAATACACAAGAAAATTATAGCTGCATTTCAAAATAACAGATGCTTTGTTGTTTCCTTCCCACTGTGGATTTTCCATTGCTCCAGTCTCTCAGCCTGCAGGCAAGTTGCCTAGAACCTCTTGGCCTCTGCGCTGCAGCAATCCACATGTTTAGTGCTCCCATTTTGATGGAAGGCTCTTCAAGTCAGTGAGTCCCTTTTCTTCTTTATTTGGAAATATATCCTTGTAAGAAATGAATCATTGAATTTGCCCTGAGATATTCAGGGATACAGTCAGTTCCTGGAAATACCCAAAATTCATAAGCTTCGTATGGCTGAATGGCCCAAGCTGTAAAAATGTCTTTGAGGGGACTCCAAAACAGGAAGCTGTTCAGGAGAAAGCAACCCCATGGCATGTCACTCGCTCATCTACTTCACCTGGCTTGGATGGTCCTGCAGACTCCCAGGAACTGTAAGGAGTAGCTTGGTGGTGGCTTGGCACAAATTGCAGCCTTTTAGGTACTCTGAACTTGAGAAAATTCTGGGCATGTAGGGATTAATTTCCAAAGCATTATAGAGATTATCACCACTGTTTTCGTAGCTTCATTCTAATTCAAGAGCATTATACTTTTCTTCTATTTTTTATCAAAACACGCACGCGTATTACACATACAGCTTCTGTGTGCATGAAATGTTCCTTTTTCCCTGAGCTTTTTTGCTCTTCCCTGTAACACTCACTTGGGAAACCCTTTTGCTCAAAGTAACAAATTGGGACCGCTTTTTCTCACGGGCATCCCTGAGGTGGCTTGGACGCGAGTCCCTCTTTCATCTGGCTCCTCTGTGGCAGAAGGGCCCTGCACTCTTCATCTCTGCCCACACCCACCCTGATGGATGCTGTGCAGCTGATCCACAGGGGCTGAGCTGGCAGTGAGCTCTCCGTCCTCTGCCTTTGAGAAGCAGCTCCTCCAGGGAGCCCTTCTCCCCTGGGCAGCAGCCTGGGAGTAAATGCACACTGAGCCAAAGTTTTCAGTCTGCTTGATTTGACACAATCCTCCTGATTTCAGCAGGTAAAGCTAATTTTTCCTCTACAGACAGTGTTTCAGTGCTGCTTAGAAGCAGTTTGGCTGGAGACGTACAGAAGGCTGGTGCTGCCAGGGTTGGCGTGTCTCTGGATGCCTGCGACTTCAGAGGTGCTGTGGCTTCCTAGGGACCTGTGGTGGCCCCTCAAGTGCCCCTCCCTCGTGGCAGGTGCTGTTATCTCAAGCAACATGGTGTCACTTTGCAATTGGCCTAGTCAGAGCAGCTATTTACCCCCCACCCGCTTTTAAAGCCT